GTTCGTGACATGTTTTCTTTATAATTTTGAACTGATTGTGATTCAGTTGTCAAATTTATGTTTCAGATAAAACCAAAATCATCAAGAATCAAAATTCGAAAACCATTGCCTGTTGTTAAATGTCTTAATAAAATCCAATTGCTGTTGTGTTTCTTGCATATTTATGATGAAAATGCCATTTGGGGATTCATTTTTTGGGCGAAATTACTGCAATTTGTTTGAGTGGTTAGGATAATGTTACATAACTTACATTTACATCGGGCAGTAGTGATAACATCATTGATAAGTACCTACCTAATTTATAATAAAGTTAAATATTAATATTTTTGTTCATTTTTGAAAATTGTATGCGTAGATATAATCATAATCAAAACTTCAACATTCAACAGAAAAATGTAACAAACAATAACAATAATCTTTCAATATTTCGTTGGCCCTCCCCTAAGCCGTAATAATTCGTTAACCCTCCTGGGGACCAAGTTCCTTAGAAATTTCTGGGGTGCCCCATTCTTTCTGAATAGCTTTTACCAATTCATCCAAATTTTCCATGCCTCCTTCCCTCTCTTTCATCATTTCAATTTTATCCTGCTCCACACATGCTCAATAGGATTCATATCCGGAGACAAAGGTGGCCAATTCATTTTCTTAATATGGTGGTCCCTTAAATACTCATTTACGATATGTGAAAAAACAGTAAAAAACAGCAATCGGATTTTATTGACATATTTAACAGCCGGGAATTGTTTTCGAATCTTGATTCTTAGTGATTTTGGTTTTATCTGAAACTTAAATTTGACAACTGAATCACAATCAGGAGGTCAAAATTATGAAGAAAACATGTTATGAAAGTAAATATCGGTTTAGGTTTAGTTTTTGTAAACTTTCACAAAAATGTCATTTTCAAAAAGTGGTCTTAGCTTAGGCCCTCTGAAAATAATGGAAGTTTGTTGCTTGTCGCTTGTTCAGAAATATTTAAGTAACAATCTTTCACCTTCTTATTTTCTTACTCCTAAAAAGACTGAGTGTATTGCCTAAAAAAAAGCCTTAAATGTACTCTTTGGGAAAAAAAAATCATATTTTCGTTGCTAAGATTCCAATTCGAAAAATTTTAAAAACGTTTCAAGGTAACACATAATACTTCATTATTTCAAAGTAAAAACGAAAAAAAAATTATTATTTTACAAACGGGGCTTGGATAAAGTTATTGAAATTTTTCACCGTTTAACATATCACCCTGTAGGAAGTTTACTTGACCAACCGTGAGCTTCATATCTATAGCATAAATTGCCAGAGGATGAGGCTAGCAGACATCACAAACCAAAATTAAATCGTTCAAGAAACAAAAAAGTTATGTCGTTTTGAAAAAGAACGAACTTTTTGGTCGCGACACATTGAGTGGTGCGCAGTTTATTTCAAATTATTATCTTAAAAATAATTTAAATATTTCAGAAACAGTTCAATTTAGGTATATGGTATATTATATGAAATATGCTTAGAATTTTACAAGGAATCGAAAAATAAATACATATATAGGGTGATCTATTGAAAAAAAAATAAACTTTTTGTTTTTCCCTGTATACTGATCAATTTTCCAATTCTCTTTATACATAGAAAAAAAGTATTTTTTAGTACCTACATAACCACACTTTTAAATTTTTTGGGACACTTAAAATAAAAAAGTTAAAGAGGGGCGACATTATAGGGGATTACCCTGTACATAATATACTATTAGGTGGTAAAAATTTTTAATTTATTATTATTTAATTTTATTGGACAAGATTTTATGATTTGAAATTTTTTAAAGTAACTGACGAATATATCTTAAATATCATAAAACCATTATAAATTTTATAATTTTTTAAGGCAGCGCGCTGCAGCAGCACAAAATGTTTTTGTAAATGAGCATACAATTGCTGACTTAAAAATTCACATTTATTACGATAAAAATGTTTAAAAAAATACTTTTTCATGAAAATGCATATTTGCCAGAATTTGTAAAAATTTAACACTGCACAGGAATCTCACATTCGCGTCATTCACGCAACGCGCGATTCCCAGTACCAATACTTTGTTGGTAATACCCAGGGGCGTAGCTACCGCGGTATCAGCCGTATCAATGATACGGGGCCCCCGGCTAGGGGGGCCCGATTGGCTTTAACATGAGTAAGAAATAGCTATTTACATACCATGGGAGGAAAATAGTGCTTTTCCTCCCGTGAATAGTTTGATGCCCGACACGAAGCGAAGGGCATTAAATATTCAAGGGAGGAAACGCATTTTCCTCCTGAGGTATATATACATATAGTTTTTTCTATTACCTTTTAACGGTTTTAAGACATTTTAAGTGTTCCGGTTCCTTTTACTAACCCGGTATGGGGCTATAAAATTATGACAAAATATTAAGTAGTTGTTGCGTTGCCGACGTTATGTTGACAACGCTTTGTTGCTATGGTATTTTTGGAAATACAAACATAACAGTTTTTATAAGCTGTCAAAATGTTTATCATAAATTTGAAATTCTTCCTACGTTTTGAAAATGAGTTCTAGCGAAGAAGACCTGCCGCAAAATCTTGCTAAAAAGGTTAGAATATTTCCTTAAAAATCGAAAGAGCGATATGAAAATATAAAATCAAATAGGGATAGACAAGGTACAAAAACTCTTGCTTATGTAAAATTGTTAAAAAAAGAAGGAGGAAATTTTTTTTTCTCCCGGGGAGGAAAAGAGGCATTTTCCTCCCTCGCTCGGGGGTGGAAAATTAAGTTTTCTAGTAAGGTAGTAAAAAAAAACATATTACCCACATGTTAAAAAAATTGAGGCATGAAATTAAATAAATAAATAATATTATTATTTAATTGTTTATACTTCAATGTATTAAATTAAAATTTTCCTGAATACCCTCCTGTTCCAATGAGGCAGTGAACTCATACGAATTGTTTCTGCCCGCAACTTTCCGCTATGCGTTGTATGCAGCGCAGTCTGCGCATATTGTTTTGTGCTCTGCGCCGCATACTGAGTCTGCTTTGCGTGTTATTATCATAGGTTATATTAATAGCAAATTAGGAATAATTATTAGCGTTACAATTATTTCAAATGACTTGCCTTTATTTTAAAATAGAAACCTTTTAAAAGATGTTGTAAATGTCTAAAACCAGACCAAATTTTAAAATTTGCCTGTATATAAAAAGTTATGTATTCATACATACATATATTATTTATTAAATTATAAAAAATTGGTAAATACAAAAAAATTATATCCTAAAAATTTTTTTTGTTTGCCCAAAATAGACGTTGGTCATGACACCCAGAAATTTTTTTGCCAGCAGCTCTTCCCGAATAAGGGCCCCTACCAGATTTTTGATACAGGGCCCCCTCAAGGCTAGCTACGCCACTGGTAATACCAACTAACCCACGTTACCAACATAAATAACTACATAGTGCATAAGAAAAGCATGTTTTTGATGGTTTAATTTAAAAATTTCATTTCTAATAAAACTAAGAATTTAGAAATGTAAAATCCTACTATTTTAGGTGGTAAAATTTAAAATTTTTTTTTCTTAACAATCAAAATTTTGGTAAAATTAAATCAGGGCCAAATGAAATCTTGTTTTTTTAATAAGGATTTTATTTCATTGCACCTAAAGTTATGACTAGTGTAGACAAATAGGTAATACAACTAAAATCCCATCTCTATTTATAAGCATACCAAGGTTCAAAAACGATACTTTGTAAAAATAATTTTGGAGCTATTCATTCTTTAACTCTGGACCTTTTCCTTATATTTTGATTCGATCAAAGAATTTTAATCCGTTTTTTTTTAATATGATTTCTAGCCACATTAATTCTTATTAGAAGCTCTTAATTTTTATTTTCTCCCTTGTAAGGGCTGACAATTTGCTGATAATTTATTTTCTTTTTGCACTCCTCAACAGATCTTTTTACTTGCTTTGTGATTTCCTTCCAAGCATCTTATTTACGCAATTAATTAAAATGATTCAAAAGTTTATAGTCCCAACTTAAACTGCGCACCACTCAATGTGTCGCGATCAAAAAGTTCGTTCAGTGAAAAATTTTAATAACTTCATCCAAGCCCCGTTTGTAACAAAATATTTTTTTCTCGTTTTTACTTTAAAATAATAAAGGATTATGTCTTACCTTGTAGCGTTTTTAAAAATTTTCGAATTGGAATCTAAGCAACGAAAATATGATTTTTTTTTCAAAAGATTACATTTAAGGCTTTTTGTAGGCAATACACTCAGTCTATTTAGGAACAAGAAGATATGATGGTGAAATAATGTTCCTTAAATAATTCTGAACAAGCGACAAACAAACAACTTCCATTACTTTCAAAGGGTCTAAGCAAAGACCACTTTTCCAAAATAACATTTTGGTGAAAATTTGAGAAAACTAAACCTAAACCGATATTTACGTTCGTGACATATTTTATTTATAATTTTGACCTCCTGATTGTGATTCAGTTATCAAATTTAAGTTTCAGATAAAACCAAAACCACCAATATCTTCAAAAATATGAGAATTTTTCACTAAAATAAGATTTAGTGACCCGTACCATCCTACAGGTGCAGATTACAGTTATGGCACATAAAGCATTTTTGTAGAACTTTTGATTACGAGTAAATCCCTTTTTAAAACAATCCAATAGCATAAAATGCGGCTGAGATATAGATATTTAAAAAAAATAATCAAAGTTTACGTGTATTTTAAATGGAAAATCTTTATACGCTTTGGTAGAGTACTTTAAGTTAATATTAAGGGCTCAAATTTTCAGGGAATTTTTTTTTGAACATTTTCAACAAGATTTTGAGTTGGGAGCTAAAAAATAAAAATAGTCCTGATAAAAAAGCACCCAAATATATATATATATATATATATATATATTGTCAAATTTAAATAGACACTGTTAAAATGTTAATTAAACAAGGCAAATTAAAAAAAAATAATATTATAAGTAATAAATTAAAATACTGATATTATTGCTTACTCGTTGGCATAGCTATTCCATACCCTTTCGAATCCAACAAACCTCCTACTTGAATAAGATCACAGTTTCTTTCCATTTCGTATTCTATTGAGGAACTTTCCATTAAAAATGCGTATTTTCTATTACTGGTTAACACCCTTTTAACGCCATCCTTGTTATCTTTTTCAAAAACGCTTGGATCTGCGGACTCCATTTGTACAAACATTCGATGATACGTTGAAAAATTCGAGTCTAAAACAAATAAAAGTTTGTTGGTATGTTATTATGTAATAGGTCAAATTATAAATTAATTAGGTTAAGTAGGTAATTCCCAAAGTTTTCATTTGTATTAATAATTAAGCTCGTAAAAGTTTTACTACAGTTTTAAACAAAAATATATAAAGTTGCTTTTACTATTATTGTTAGTCAACAATGTAAATACAATCAAATAGGAGTATTTATATTATATTTATTAGACATTTTATCGATATATACTTATATTAATTTCGGATAAATTGTACCTAATGTATTTGGTGTTATACGCTACGATATATTATTTGTCCTATAAAATATAACCATTAAATAATTAATACGTAGTATGTAGTACGTAGTACTTAGAATATCCGATGCGGAGAATAGGGAATATATATATATGTATACGATATTAAATGCATCTGTGAACGTGCCACTATGGGCTTTTACAAACTCACACCAAAATCGTTATTTTAAGCTTATTAACATTTTAACTATCTATCTATTTATTTAGTTTCCTACAATTTAATAATTTTACCTCTGAAAAAAGAATATGTCGCTCCACCCGATAAGCATCCATATTTAATTTTAGTTTGGCCTGCTAGATCCTCCGCACTCTCGATCGTTGGACCCATTCTTTCCATGGTTAAAAAGGCAGCCAGGTTGGCAGTGTAACAAGCGGTCATAATGAGGGAGAAAAACCACCACATTCCCGCCACCATCCTTGTCGATATGCCCCTAAAATTTAATGCGAACTTTATATTTATTGTATGGGCAAATACCACTAAACCCCGATTGCCATTCTTAATATTTGTATTTTATTTTAAAATACTTTAATTTCTAAATGTTTAGATAATTTAAGTATATTTTTTCTTCAAGCGTTCTATAATTAAAACTATTATTGTCAACACTCACTACCAAATTAATTGATTATCGCCTAGGCTGTGAAAATAATTTTGACAATCGTGTATAGTTTTTTACATCTTATGCTGAAAAAAACTCGTTTACATTAAAAAAAAAATTAGATAACTGTGAGATCTACCTAACCTCACTTTGTACTTTTATTAATTAATATTATAATTGTGCGTTTTATATATCATTTAGCAAATACAATGCTATTCGGATAGTGTGTTTTTGTGCTTCACTCAATTATAGGCCCCGCTACGTGTCGGTTTAAACTTTGAGCAAATAGCATAAACCAGATTGCACAAGCCGACGTCTATTTCGGGTCCCACATAGGTCCAAACGTCCCAGACCTATATCGGAAGTTTTGGGTACGTTCAGTCTCTTACTTATTTGGGAAAATTAAAGCGGATATACTAGGTACGTCTCAAGGACGTAATTTTTGTTTTTTTAGCAATTGAAGCATGATATTTCCTAAGGGTCAAGTTGGCTAAGTAATATATTATCATTTAAAAATAGTTTGTCATGCAGAATGACTTAAAAAATATTTCAACATTTATATGTTCAAAATATTTTTTTTTCATTGATAACTCACAATTTTATTTTTGACACTTAAACCCTTTGGGAATACCACTCTTCAATTCTGTAGAGCTTGTCCAATAATCCCCAATAAAGTATTTCAGGACGGCTAGAGGATGTCTTACTTAGGACGTCCTGGGGACCGACGATTTGATAACATCGGATGTCCATGGTGCGTCCTGGGGAAGGTTCAGGACCTGATTCGGACGTACTCGGGACCTACTAATGTCTGATACAAGATATACTCAGGACGTTTCCAGTACTTCTTTGTGCTACCCGGGTATGAAGCTTGCAAGCTTAAAACCGAAATTTGTATATAGATGTTAGCTTTATTATATAAATTTTAATTTAATTTAAATTCTTTTTTGTGTTCGTCGTTGATAAAGTATAGTATGCAATTCGTTTTATAAACTTCTCTAAGCACTCGCTTTCAAGCATTTCTCATGCCTATTACAAATCTTAATTTAAATGGAGTTTATAAAATTTAATATACTATTTTATACACTGTTTTTTGTCGTACCTTAACAATCAATTAAATATATTGCTGAGGGCCGGTGTATCAATGTCCAAATAAAGTTGCAGTTAGTAATTTGGCAGATAATTTCCATGGATACCATTGTTATTATATATATATACCCAGATAGCAAACGTGAATACGAAATCACGCGTGAGTGAATAATGTGTGCTATATGATTTCACACGTGAAGTCTTGAACTCGTAATTCACACGTGAGTAGATTATGAATTCATATTATAGTCTCGTGTGATTTAATCGATTTTATTTTAAAATACATGGATTGCATGATTAAAAACTGCAGGTTTAAATATACATAGAATATTAATATTCTAATATCAAAATATTACCTGACGCGCGAATTTTGGAATTATTATTTTAGTTATATTTTTTTATTATAATAAAATAAATAATAAAAATTTAAAATCGTATAAAATCTGTAATATTTATATTTTTTAAATAAAATTTTAAATTTGTCGATAAATTATAGTGGAGTATAAATTGCACCACTTTAATTTGAATTATCCCAAATGGGGGGGCCAGAAGCCAGGTAAGGCGACACAAAAAACTAACTTTTTTTCGCAAACTTTAATTTAAATTCTGTTTGCGCCGAACTTGTCTATTTAATGTCATTATAAACTATTATAAATTTGGAGTGGGTCCTACGTCTAATAAGTGAGATATTGGTATACCCAAAATCCCCAATCCGCCACTGATATATATTATTATAATTATATATATTATAGTAATATATATAATTACATAATATATATTGGTTTAAAAGGTCACAATTATATGTTATAGGTACATTAATAATTAATATATGTATATTATAAATTAATTAATTAATTAGTTAACCTTAAGGTTATAATTGTAATGTATAACCTATAATTGAGGAGCAATCAACCAAAACCAGATAAATCCATTTTGATTTCTTGAATGATTCATATTTCTTTTAGTCAGATAAATCAATTGGAAAAGTGAATTTCAAGATAAACTTATTATAATAATATATATATTATATACTAATATTAATATTAGTATATAATATAATAATTATTATATAATATTAATTTTATGATCATATCATATTATGATAACAAGTTTAGCTTGAAATAGATATTTCCAATGGATTTATCTGAACAAAAGAAATAGGAACCATTCAAAAAGTCGAAATGGATTTATCTGGTTTAGTCTGATTGCTTCTCAATTAAGGCCTTTTAAACCAAGTTTTTGTGTATTTTTTTAAGATGTTAAAATAAATATTTCGACAGATTAAATTATTTTGAAAAATGAAATCCATATTCTAAAAGCGCATGCGCAAAAAATAAAAAGTTCACGCGTGATGGCAAATTGAGCATCAATTGAGGACTCATCTGTCGCGTTATATGAATTCACGCGTGAATTTAATTTTCACGCGTGAATTCGTAGTGAATTCATAGTGAATTCATTTTGCTATCTGGGTATATATATATAATTAAACTTTCAGATAGACTAACTGAAACTTAGGAGATTGATAAGCTGGCCCTTAATCAATCTATTAAATATATTTGCCAACCCTATAAGCTACGGTCTAACTATAGCGTTTTGACGACTTAGGGCCGGTTTATTAATCTCTGGTTAAGTTCCAGTTAGTCTATCTGACAGTTAAATTCTTTATCGATCGCTGTGAGCAGGGCCGGCTTAAGGCAGTCCAGCGCCTTAGGCACTTAAAAATTTGGCGCCTATTACTAGATACTATACTTATACTATACAATCTGGTAGCTTAAGGGCGCCCGGGCATACTAACCTTATTATACCTTATAAATTAAAATATTTTTTATTAAAAAAATACATATAAAACATAAATAATTTTTTTTAAGACGAGTTATTTTTTTAGACATATTTTGATTTAGTCTGTAAGTAATATCTATAGATATACTCTCTTAAAATGAATAAGTCAAAAATAACTATAGTTATTTCAATATATTTTATTCAATTATAATTATAAGTCATATTTGAATTATTTTCATAGCGACAAAGCAGTCACTAATAATTATTATTATTAGCAGTCACTAATTATAATTAGTCAAATTCTACGAAATGAAACAGTCAAATTAGTAGACGCATCACTGCTACTTATTAAATTTATGATATCTGTCAATAAATATTGTTAATATTATTGTTAAAGTTGAATATATTTTTTGTGTTGGAGCCAAAGTTTTTGCATCTTTATTTTTATGGACCATGGAGCCTATATGCATTTAACGCCGCAAGAATTAAAAACGATTAAAGAAATCAGTTACTTATTACTCTCAGTAACAGTAAAATATGGCGACTTATCTTAAATTAGTCAAACTTTAACTAATTAAGTATACTATAGTAAAAAATAAATATTTAAAAGTAAAAACGACTATTTAATTAGTAAACAATGCTGATACTAATTGGAATAGTGGAATTTTTACTATTTCATTTCAAGAGAGTAAATAACCATATTTGGTAAATTATAATTATAAATATATATATATATATATATATATATATATATATATATATATATATATATAATATAGGTGGTTTAAATAAACTTAAATTGACTTAAGAGTTAAAAAGTAGTTAAAAAAGGGTAAAATAAACCAAAAACTATCAAATATTAACTTTTTTTAACCAAAGTTAACCAAGAAGTTAAGTTTAACTATCATAACGTTAATTTTACCATAATTAAATTCCCACTTATTACAAAATAACGTTAATTTAACCAGTGGTGCTACTTGGGTAGTAAGTATTTAAAAAATGTAAAACAGCTTTAATTCCCTGTAGTTTTATGTAAGGCATTACACCGCGTTATAACAAAGGAAGCCGCTGTTTTATAGAGATGGGAAAATTCCCATTTGACGAAAATTCCCGGAAACTTTCCATCGAAAATTCCCGAAATTTTCGGAAAGTTTCAAAAAAAAATTTTTTATTGCGAAAATATTTTTTTTATGCCAGGGTTTTTTGTGATGATGCTGAATAATCCGGCTTCATTGAGGTTATGTAACATAACTTACATTATTTATACTTCTTCTGCCTTAAATTAACACACATTAAATTTTTATTCAAAGTTTCTTGGCCTTGTATCATGGCCTTAACGAAAATCAGCGGTTAAACAATTGACATTTAAATGAAAAAAACAAGGAAAGTTTCCAAAGAATGTTTCCAAGGAATGTTTCCGGTAGCTTAAAAGAAACTTTCAAAATGAAAATAAATTCCCTATTGGAAACTTTCCAAAACGGAAAGTTTCCTTAAAATGGAAACTTTCCGATTCCCATCTCTACTGTTTTATAAAATAATAAAAACAGTAAAGAATATTCGGCGCTCTACCGTTCTCATAATTGTATATAGTTTATTTGCTTTATTTTTTGGAAAAATAAACCATTTGGTAACAATTTTTTTAAGTTGGTTGGGGACAATGCGCCTATTTTTTTGTGGCGCCTAAGGCAATTGCCTTACCTGCCTAATGGGTAATATGGCCCTGGTTGTGAGAACAATGGTATTCACGGAAATTATCTGCTAGATAACTAACTGCAACTTTAACTGGACATTAATAAACCGGCTCTTATTCAACCGATTAAATTGGTTGACGTGAGTCACGACGTCTAATTGCGTCGTCAAAATTAGACCATACCTATAGAGTTTTTATAGCTGCAACTTCCACCACTTTGATCCTAGTAGCGTTTTGGGACATTTCAGAAATATCCCGAATAACCGGATTCCGTAATTTC